CAGTCCGGCTCTGCTGACAGGGCCTGGAGAAGACGGGCACCTTCCTGGTCCAGAGTGGAGATCATGGACCTTATTCAGGTTTGGGAGGGATGCCCCCAATGTCCATGATCTCTGCACTAGACGGAGGAATGCGGCCATCTATGGCAAGGTAGCTGCCAGCCTGGCCACCAAAAGCCACATGCGAACCCAGGAGCAGGTTCGCATGACAATCAAGTTGGTCCAGTGAGACCCCCAACCCTGAACCCTGATCTTCCCCTCCCCCTTCCTCCCGTTGCTTCCCCCTTCCAGCTCCCTCCTCCCAGGTTTCCCCCTCCCTCTATCACCCTCTCTCCTCCCTTCTCCCACCTCCTTTCCCCAATCACACCAGAGTTTCATTCTCCACCCCCAGTTTTGTTAAATACAGTTTGTATTTATGAAAAAATGTATGTTTTATTTTACATCAGGAAGGGGGGTTGGGGAGGTGTAAGTGGAAGGACGTGAGGGAGGAATGAGGCATGAGCCCCTGGTGGGGAGGACTGGGGAGGCTCTTAGTGCTCCTTAGGGTAGAAGCTCTCCCACAGGGCTTCCTGGATGCTGACAGCCTCCTGATTGGCCTCCTGGATGGCAGCCTGCAGAAAGTGCTGCCAGGGTTACAGCAAGACATCCAAAATGAGCACAAGAGTGCCCAGGGGCAGCTCTGGCTCCACGGTGCCAAGTGCTGTGGTGTCCCGAGTCAGGACAACCAAAGCAGACAGAGACAAAAATGTGCTGTGCCTCAGTGAGGTAGGCAAACAAGCAGGGAAAGGTGATTACAGGCTGTCCAGGGGGGTATCCCTTTAAGCACAGGCCTCAGATAGCCTCAGGCAGCAGCCACACAAAGTAACGCCTGACCTGATGCCCTGCCGGATCTGGTTCCAGACGGCCTAAAATACGATTCAGCATCCACTCAGTGCGGGCGTGCTATTTCGAAATAGCAAAACGCTATTTTGAAATGCATTTTGTGTGGAGACACGTTATTTCGAAATAAGCTATTTCAACTTAACTATTTCGAAGTAGCTTATTTCAAAATAACATTGTGGTGTAGACAGAAGGCGTTATTCCCCGTAGAATGAGGTTTACCAAATTCGAAATGAGCGCTGTAGTGGTTTGGCTGTGTAGACGCTAGGAAAGTTATTTCGAAATAAGGTCTGTTATTTCGAATTAACTTTACTGTGTTGACATACCCTAAGGCAGCTTTTCAATGTTGTACATCAATGAGACACGACACATTAGGACAGAAAGCACAGAATACCAGGTCATTTTGAAAATACAGGGCCAATCTGGGAAGATGGAATGATAGAAATGAGGATTGAATTTGTCCAGGATACTGGAGCTAACTTTCCCACCCTTGTAAAAAGTTTAATAGGATTGATAATGATTACATGCAGACAGGACTTAGAAAGACAAAACCCCAAGCAATGTAACACCCCTATATATGATGCTGGCACAATGGTTTGCAACTACCCCAGAATCAATATCAGTTAGAATCTCTTCCCAATAATATTTTGGGTATAAGTAGCATATTTGTATCCTTTGTTTTATAAGGAAGATTGCTAAATGATTCCTGGTACATCTTCACGCTTTTTGTTTTGTAATGAGAAATGGGCTTACTTAAAAATGCCTAGCTTTGAATCAGAAATCAGTTTCTTCAAGCAAGCCTAAATATGTTGCAAAAAGGTCTTCTGGAGCATCCAAACTGCATGTGGCCAGTAACTGCATTGGAAATGACTGTGAATGAACAATTCCAGTCTTCACTCTGTGCTGTATATCTATTTACAGGCAGTCCCCGGGTTACATGGATCCGACTTACATCGGATCCCTACTTACAAACGGGGTGAGGCAACCCCAAACTAGCTGCGCCCCCTCCCTCCCAGCAGACCGCCGAGACGCGCCGCGGTCCTGCCGCCCGCGTCCTCCATGGCGAGAAAAGCCACTCCGTGTCTCCCTGGTCTGCAGGACTGAGGGAAGTGAGGTGTGGGATAATAAAACTGAGCTCTGGAGAAATGTTTGGCTAGAGTTTCCCCTACAATATGTACCAGTTCTGACTTACATACAAATTCAGCTTAAGAACAAACCTACAGTCCCTATCTTGTACGTAACCCGGGGACTGCCTGTACTGTATAAAGAGCAGCCAAACAAGGACAAAGACCGGGAGGATGTTTCTCATTCACTACTACAGAGTTCTAAAGGGGCAACAAATGAGGTTGATGTTAATTTCTAAGAGCTACAGCGTACAACTCTCATGTTCATCTCTCTCATAGTCAAATGAAGGGGGCTTGGATATTTGCAGTGTAACTGTAAAGCTCCCTCTCTCCTGTTGGGTGTGAGTTGAATTCTGGAAGATAGTGATGCCTCAACTGGCCCTTGAGGGGTTTTGATGGATGTTTTAGAGTTTCCTTTGCTGGCTCGCTCCAATATGACAGCAGGATAAGGCTCCTAAGTGCTGGTGGTCCTAGTGCCCTGGCTGTTTCCCAGCCATTGATGTCAAACCACTGCCAAAGATCTTGGCTCATCACTGGCTACATGGCAGGGAGCTCTTGTAACACCTGGTTCAGATACAGACAGGGTACATGTCAGCTCTTCACTTTTCTCAGGTAGACTCCCTTCCTGGCTGTGGGGAAGGATAGAGCACCATGGTGTCTGTGCTTCATTTCTTGGCACTTCCACATGTATTCATGGGCAGAGCACTTGTGTAATCAGCACAGTATCTAAGGGTACGTCTACACTACAACGTTAATTCGAACTAACTTAGTTCGAATTAGTTAATTCGAACTAAGTTAGTTCGAATTAACGTTGTAGTGTAGACGTACCCTTAGATACTGTGCTGATTACACAAGTGCTCTGCCCATGAATACATGTGGAAGTGCCAAGAAATGAAGCACAGACACCATGGCGCTCTATCCTTCCCAACAGCCAGGAAGGGAGTCTACCTGAGAAAAATGAAGAGCTGACATGTACCCTGTCTGTATCTGAACCAAGTGTTACAAGAACTCCCCACCATGTAGCCAGCAATGAGCCAAGATCTCTGGCAGTAATTTGACATCAATGTCTGGGAGGCTGGGAAACAGCCAGAGCACTAGGACCACCAGCACTCAGAAGCCTTATCCTGCTTTTATACTGGAGAGAGCCAGCAAAGGAACCTCTAAAACATCCATCAAAACCCCTCATGGGCCAGGTGAGGCATCACTATCTTTCAGAATTCAACTCACACCCAATAGGAGTGAGGGAGCTTTACAGTTACACTGCAAATATCCAATCCCCCTGTCACGTTGCTGAATTGGAGGGAAGCAGCCAGATCGCTGCTGCACCCCTAGGTGGGGGTGTTGGCCCCAGAAATTGGTGTGGGGGGAGCCATGTGGGGTATTGAATGGGAGCTTATTGTTTGTTAATCTTATGTACACTATTTATGTGATTGTATAATGTCTATGTGTGTAGGTAGGAATCTGTAA